CTATGACCCTTTTAGTTCGCAACTTATATTTATAAAGAGCCTCCTTTAACTAACCCTAATGGATCCCTCTTATTGGGTATTGGATCTCTATCCAATTACCCCTGGCTTAATGGATTTTGGATGCCCATCCAATAACCATTCTAAGCTCTATTAGGTCTCTCCCAAGGATTTATTAAAATAGGGGCTTAGTGGATATCCCATACCTGATCCTTTATTCGTTGCTTTGTCCACCATATGTGTGACCCTTTAGGCTCAATGCTAAGCTGGCCGTGAGTTGCACCTATCAGAACTTTTTTTGACTCAGAACTCTTTCTGACTCAGTGAATTATTATTCCTATAATGATTCACTCAACTTATCGACTATGGACGTACTAGACCACTACGCCAAAGTCTCTAAATGATATAGGGGAATCTAATCCATTGGATCTGTCTGCCCTCAGTTACCTTGTATCTATAGTCCTTCATCTATCTAATATCCCAGAATCCGTAAACCAGACATGGTGTTGTCAGGCCTATAGAATCCATCCGAGTCTCACTCTAAACAGATTCTCTTGGATAACTCTTTCTATCAATATAAATCTCACGCTTATCGGATTCATCGCGATCCGATTGGCCCTGACCAGGGATTTGCCGGAGTGAGAACACACAGGATATTCCTCTCATAATATCGAGAGTGGATGATCCTCTATTGGCACCCAATTACCTTCGTAAGGTTGGTTACAATTCCTAGTGACCATCAGTACTAGATCCGAAACTTTTATACCTGTAAGTCTAGTATAAAAGAATATAGTACTTAAACAAGACAACCTTGGTATCTCAAGTCTAAGGAACAGATACACAACTAGGATTACAAAATTACTGTCTGACGATGAGATATCGTTAACTAATTAGCATTCCGTAAGTGGATCATTTAGTGAACTCATTCTCTAATGAGCACTTGTACTATATCCCTAGTGTCCCCATATAAGCAGCTATGAGACCAGTTGCCTCAATCATATGGATGAGTATATAGTATACCGGTTTGTCCAGTTATCTTGATGTCCTTCTCGAGTAACTTATGACTAGGAATATTTAGGATATGTGTTTAAATGTAAATTGGTCTCATTATCATGATCTCATCATAATCCAATTCCCATTATATAGATCCAAAAACATCATAATATATATTCATAATATAATATAAAGAGTGAAAATATAATAATAATAATAATCAAAAGAGATTGTGTAGTGTATCACATGTGCCATCACTCATGTGATTGACTTGCAGGGCACCTGTAACTATCAATGTCCCACTTGACCTAAAGCCAATCACCTTGATCCCCATTAGGTTCCGGTGACGCTCGAAAACAATATGAGACAACAGTTTTGTTAGTGGATCTACAATGTTATTTTTGGATGAAACTCTTTCCACTATTATATTACCATGGGCTACGATCTCTTTGATCAAGTGGAACCTTCTCAGAACGTGCTTGGACTTCTGATGAGACTTGGGTTCCTTTGTTTGAGCAATCGCCCCATTGTTGTCGCAATATAAGGGAATCGACTCGTTACCCGGCACAACTCCTAGATCTACGATGAACTTATTTATCTAGATTGCCTTATTTGCTGCTTCTATCGTAGTAATATACTCCGCCTCAGTGGTCGAGTCAGCAGTAGTGTCTTGCTTAAAACTCTTCCAGTTTACTACTCATCCATTTAGGGTGAACACATACCCTGAGTTTGACTTACTGTTATCGACATCGGATTGGAAACTCGAGTCTATATAGCCCTAAACCTTGATGTTACCTCCTCCGTATATCAGTAATAGATCCTTAGTTCTTCTCAAGTACTTAAGGATACACTTTACTGCCTTCCAGTGTTCCAAACTTGGATCTGCTTGATACCTGCTTGTAACACTTAGAGCGTGCGCTATATTATGCTTGATACATAACATACATAATAGATCTTATCGCAGAGGCATAGAATATCCTATTTATGTCTGCCCTTTCTACAGGAGTTTTTAAGGACATACTCCTAGTATGTGATATTTCATATCTCATTGTTATGAGTTATCTCTTGAAATTTTTCATGCCAAACCTTTTGACAATGGTATCTATGCACCTGGACTAGGACAAGCCAAGCATCCTCTTGAATCTATCAATATAGATCCGAATCCCTAAAATGTAGGATGCTTCCCTTAAGTCCTTCATGGAGAAGTGTCGAGATAACCAAACCTTAATTGTTGAGAGCATTCATATATTATTATTCCCAATGATTAGGATGTTATTTACATATAACACCAAGAAGATGATAGTGCTCCTATTTACCTTCCTGTACACATAAGTTTCATCTTCATTCTTAATGAAGTTATAAGATCTAATTGCCTCATTAAATTTTATGTTCCAATTTCGGGAAGCTTTCTTTAGTCCATAGATGGACTTGAGCAATCTGCACACCTTATTTGAACTTTCCACATGAATCTTTCAGGTTGTATTATATATACCTCCTCATCGATGTTGCCATTGAAGAACATAATTTTCATGTCCATCTGCCAGATCTCATAATCAAAGTATGCTGTAATGACTAACAAAATTCGGATGGATTTCAGCATGGCCATGGGCGAGCAGGTTTCATCATAGGCAACACGTTGCTTTTGACGATACTCTTTAGCCACTAGCCTTGCTCTATAGGTCTCTACCTATCCATCTACTTCGATCTTCTTCCTGAAGATCCACTTGCAATCAATGGGTATAATATCCTCAGGTGCATCAATTAGGTTCTAAACCTATTTGGAGTACATGAAATTCCTCTCGAAATTCATGGCCTCTTGCCATTTCTTGGAGTCTACGCTTATAATAGCCTCTTCATAGGTTTCGGGATCGATATCCTCAATGTCATCATCGTTGATATGTCCAGCAGATCTTTCAGGAGGGTTGGACACTCTACCGAACCTACGCAAAGTTGAAACTTGTGTGCTAGGTACTTGAACAGACTCGTCATGCGGAATGACGATTGAGCTAGGTTCTCAAATCTTGCTCAACTTTATCACTCTCCCATAGTTTCCACTAAGAATGCGTTCCTTCTCAAGGAACACTGCCTTCTTGGCAACAAAGATCTTTTGGTTCTTGGGGTGATATAAGTAATACCTACAAGTCTCCTTGGGGTATCCCACGAATTTGCATCGTTTCATCATTGATTTCAACTTATTGGGGTTGTGTCTTCTAACGTGGGTAGGGTAGCTCCAAATCTTAACAACCTTAAGATTGCGCTTCTTTCTTTTCTATATCTCATATGGTGTAGACACTACCACTTTAGATGGAACTTTGTTCAAAAGGTAAGTTACGAATTTTAGAGCGTAGCCCTAGAAAGAGACGGGTAGGTCGGCAAAACTCATCATGGATCGCACCATGTCCAACAGCATGCGGTTCCTTCTTTCCGATATACCATTGAGCTGTGGTATATAAGGAGGGGTCCATTGGGATATGATCACATGGTCTTTGAGGAACTGGGTGAACTTTGTACTCAAGTATTCTCCTCCTAGATTTGATCGAAGAGTCTTGATACTCTTTCCAGTCTGGTTTTCTACCTTATTCTTGTATTCCTTAAATTTCTCGAAGGCTTTAGACTTGTACTTCATTAAGTATATATGTCTATACCTAGAGAAATCATCAATGAATGTAATGAGATATAAATAACTACCTATGGCCTGAGTTGACATAAGACCATATACATCAGTATGCATGAGTCATAGCAACTCAATGGCTCTCTCTCTAATTCTACTAAATGGAAAGTTGGTCAATTTCCCTTAAAGGTAAGACTCGTATGTTGCATATGATTTATAATCAAATGGATCTAAGTATCCATCCTTTAATAACCTTTGAATTCTTCCCTCGTGGATATGATCTAGCCTACAATGTCACAAGTATGCATCATTCACCTCATCTCGCTTCCTCTTAGACACACCAACATTCATGACATGTGGAATAACATCTAACATAAATAAACCATTATTTAATGTTCCTCTATTGATGATCTCATCATTTAAAATTAGTAAACAATCATTGTTCTCGAAAACTAATTTATATCAACTATTTGTCAAACAAGAAATAAAAATAATGTTTTTGATGATCGAAAGAACGAAATAACATGTATTTAATGCAAGAATGACTCCACCAGGCAATTGTAGGGTAACCTTGCCAACGGCAACAACAGCAACCTTTGCACCATTCCCCATCCTGAGATCCACCTCCCCTCTCGCTAATCTCTTAGCCCTTGCTAGAACTTGCAACAAATTGCAGATATGAGATGCACTGTCGGTATCCAATACCCATGCATTATCATAACTTTCTGATAAATAGAGATCAATCATGAATATACCTAAAGTTTCTCCAAACTTCTGTTTTGCCTTTTCTGTAAGGTACTTCTTACAGTTCCTCTTATAGTGCTCGTCTTTATTGTAGTGGAAGCACTATCCTTTATCCTTTGCCGGGTCCTTTTTAACAACCTTTGCCCTTGCTCTTCTTAAGAAGCTTCTCTACCTTCCTTTTCTTTCTGGTCTCACCAACATAGAGAATTGGCTTCTCTTTCTTGATGGTGCTCTTAGCCTCCCTCAACATATTGAGGAGCTCAAGGAGAGTCATCTCAAGCTTGTTCAAGTTAAAATTTATTATGAATTATGAAAAGGAATCCAGAAGGGACTGAAGTATAAGATATACACATGGGTTATCCTCTAGGACCATTCCTAGACCCGTGAGCTTCTCAATCTACTCAATCATCTTAAGGACATGATTTTAAACCGATGTCCCCTCAGTCATCTTTGCACCGAAGAAACTTTTGGATATCTCATATCGTTGAATCCTTTCTTGTTCCTCAAACAATTTTCAGAGATGGAGGATGGATCCGACATCCATCTTTTCATACTGCCTCTATAACTCGGGAGTCATAGAACCCAACATATAATACTGAGCAAAAGTGGAATCATCTATATGCTTCACGTAGCGAGCATTCTCATCCTTATTTTCCCCTTTCGCATACACGGGTACAAATGTGTCAAGGACATACGTAATTTTCTCCGTCATGAAAACAATTTTGAGGTTGCGGGGCCAATCCGTATAGTTTGGACCAGTGAAACGGTTGACATCTAGTATGCCATGTAAGGGATTTGCAAGCAACATATTTCTAAAAAGTAAAGATGTAGTAGAAAATAAATAACATGCAGATTTTAGATTTTGCGAAGAACAATTAAGACATGACCTTTTATCTTAATCTACTCTTATTATTTTCTCTCAAAACACACGACACCCTTCGACATGTGAATCGGAAATCTCCGACGGATTTCTATTAAGGATCGGGATCTAGTTGGCATCTTAGTATGACCTTGAGGGACTCGACCAATCATACTAAGTCCAAAATATAGGCAACTCTTGCTGATCAACCAATCACACTAAGTCTAAAATCCCATCCTATTCGGCCTCCAAACCATCATGACCTCGAGTGACTCGATCGACCATGATGTTCGGTTAAGTCAGCACCATCATTACAAGATGAGTTTGATTTGATGATATGCTCTCGAGGGACTTGACCAAGCATACCATGCCCTCAGGTCACTGGTGACATCTTTGTGTCGTAGGCAAGATCTCAAATCCCAATATAGGTGAGTCTTGAGGGATTTGACTAACTCAGCGCATATCGAAAAATGATTTTTACCTATAATGATGAAAGGCCGTGTGGATCAATTTAATTGCCTCACTTTTACCGACTTAATATTATTATTGTTGGAGTTTTTTTTTATTTAATATGGTCTTGTAGTTAAATATGATGCGTCACACATATATATTTAATATATATTTACATCACATGTAAATATAAGTATATATATAAATATAAATATATATATATGTATATATATATATGTATACATATATATATATATATATGTATATGTATACATATATATATGTATATATATATATACAAAAACACCTAGTAGGTGTAAAAATAAACATATATCACATATAGGCATCCACACTATATGATTATGTACCAGAACCTAGTCTGATAAGGCCTGAGCCTAAAAGGATGATCACGTACAAAATCTCTATGTGTGTCTTAGCGAGCGCATTTCCATGCCCGGTGATCATCCATCTCATCCTCATCGGTCCTGTCGGCACCTTGACGCATCTGCAAGCTCGATGATCTCCATGTCCTCTTGGGTCCCGTTGGCACCTCCACACTCCCATTGCGTCGTTTCGTGCAATTACAACTTAATTATAGGTACGCAGGCTTAAAAATGTACATATTGCATAAATGAGAAACCTTAATCTTATCAAGGGGAGGTACAACACTGAGGGAGATAGAAATACATGTTGGATATAATGAGAGAGAGAGGGAGGCTCGTAAGCCCCAATAATAATCACATACACG